CGCTGGGACCCTGGAACCCTTAGCCTATACCAGAGCTAGTTCAGCTGAATTTTGCTACCCTATACTAGAGTAATCTCCCTAAATCCCCCCATCTATCGATACTGTTGAGGCTGATTTGCGTAAATTTAAATTTGCCGATTTGATTTTTTTTTTATATTTGAGTGGCAATTCCTGGTTTCCTTAGTCTAAATAAAATCTTCAACCAACTAGTCAGTTTTGTAAAAAATTATACCCTATTCTGTACCCAAACGCTCTGATTTATATACCCTATCCTAGAGTAAACTGCTTGAAAACCATACCCTTCACAGCGGCACATACCTATGTAGCCCATGTATGGCTGTGCCCCCCCCGGGGGGGAGGGGTAGGGATCAGACACCTGGTTCTCGAAAGCCCCGGAAAGTTTTCGGGCCCGAAAAGCCATTTTTAGTTAATCGGTATTGAAAAACAGAGAGGAATACACGCCTGAAACTTGTATGGAACAGAACCTCTGTTTATACTAAGAATATAATTGCTCCGGCTATCCGGGTGCGAAAACTTTTCGGGACCTTCAAGAAACGGGCCTCAGGTGGCAAAAAACGCGATGAAGAAGGGAAAGGAACAGCATTCTATCCCGATAAAGAAGCCCATTTCCAATAAGCAGCCCAGTTTAAGGCGGGGGCTAACATGAAGGCCATATTTTTGCTGGGTGTTATGGTTTGAATGCAAATATCTCGTTCACGTTTCAAGCAATGAAAAATCTCTCTGCTCATTNAAACGCTCTGATTTATATACCCTATCCTAGAGTAAACTGCTTGAAAACCATACCCTTCACAGCGGCACATACCTATGTAGCCCATATATGGCAGTGCCCACCCACCCGGGGGATCGGGTTTAGATAGACTGCAAGGAACTAAGGGAAGTGTAGAAGTATACACATGCACTGCAAACGTATTGACAGACACTGTTTAATCTAAAATTTCAACATAAATGCCGCGTGTGACTTCAATGATGTCACTCTTGATCAACTCCCCTAGTTATCTGTCAGGGAGGGGAGAGTTCAGGGACCAGACTACATCATGTAACACCATGTAAAGAGTTTTATTACTGTACTGAGCTATCCCTAAACACTTAGGTCAGATACTTGCAGATTAAAAGACATTTTGTAAAAAATTGTACCGTATCCATATTGATTTTTTTGTGTTTACATGTCCTTTGAAATTCATTATATACAGCATTGTTTAACCACGTAAGACTTTTGAAGCATTTAACCGTCACATTCATCTTTCCAAGTGTATTCTGTCAGTTGTCTCTTATCTGAAACAGATACAAACACTGTTACAGGGCGGCAGTCTTCACTTGTACACACTGAAGAGTTACTAAAAACCAGAATCTAACAGTAAATGAGTCAAATCAAATACACGAAAGCAGTACATTTAAGACAGGTAGTACATAACACATAGTAATCCCCCGCCTGGTGGCAAGGAACTCAAGGAATATGAAATTTAACTGAAAGTTGCCTGGCTGCCGAGGATTCGCTGAACAATCAATTAAATGTTATCAAATTACAAAGATCTCATTACCTGGTATTGGCATATAATTAAGAAAGACTTTACTAGAAGCACCATCCACATCAATTGTGGTTCCTGTTATATAAGATGCAGCAGGAGACAAAAGGAAACTAACAGCTCCTGCTACCTAAAAACATCACAGTGTTATGGTATTAGTATTAAAGAAACTGTTGGCTTGCCTCGGTGGGCACGTGAAAAACTTAACTATTTGTTAGCTTGGGGTACAGTTGATTCAGGTAAATTATCCTCAGTAGCAAATTAATGGAGTTAATGTTTTGAGCATTGGTTCTTTTTCACAGCATTTTTTGCTGCAATGAAAGGCAAGCAATTGAAACATCAGCTTTACTAACTCCATACAGTGGTCAATTTACCACTATAAAATTAGCTAAGTATGCTAGAATGCTTCAATAGACTTTACTTATCTGACACTCACATTCTAATTTCAAATCTAGAGCAGTCAAAATAAAACCTTTAAAAAGTTTGTCTTTGACAAGGGTTCAATACTTGTAGCGGGCAACCATCTACAATAAAATATCAGTGAACTGACAAGAGTAGGTAGAATTAGGTGTCAAGAAGACCAAGCTTTACAACATAGTTGAATGTTGTTTTCAGAGTTTTCAATCTTCTCCTAGGTAGTGAGACTTGCTTTGAGACATTCCAAGGATGATTGGGCATGAAGCATGACGGTCAGTGCCTCTTTTAGTTACTGGTGACAAAACATAAGTCAATGGACAAACATTAGCCCTGAGATTAAATAGTTTATCTTAATTCCCTCTGTCCTGCCTGGGACATACATGTAAGGCCACATTTAATTCTTACTTCTGCTGTGGTTCCACATCTTTTAGCTGGTAGTACGGCTTTTAACTTTTGAAACAGCTCAGAGTCTGGATAATTCTGTGCTGCAGTTTCAGAGTACACCACACCCTATATTGAAACAAAAGCTCAAACTATGTACAAAATTTAATGTAACCTCTTTTGAACATCAAATGAATATAAAAAAACTTGGCACCTGAAAAGGGTCAACAAACCAAACACTGATACTACTTTGATTATCAGTCGAGTAAGGAGCGACAAAAGTCTGGGGATTGGGTTTTAACGTTCAACTTGTGTTGTTGTCATGGGCAACTGGCTCCATTTCCAGTGACAACTTGTTGGCCTTTGATGTCATTGAGAGCAAAGCATGGGAAATTGCAGACAACGAAATTGTTACCGTTGGAAACCAGGAGAGTTGTCTGTGGCAACGCTGCAATTTTACACTCAAAACTTTGTCACCAAAGCTCTGTCGTGCCTTACTCAACTGATAATGGTAGAAAGCTACTGAATGTATCAAAAAGACTCGGAAAAGACTAGATCTTGTCTTCTTTATGCTGAGTAAAGTTTAACGTAAATGCTACTTTTGTCATTTAGAGCCTCTATTGTACTTCAGATACATATGTAGAATAACACCTTCAGTGCAAAGGGGCTATCTTTTTGAAAGTAGTCTTGAAAAGAAAAGATCTCGTACTCATTTCTCTGTCAAAAAATAAACAGATCTGCAATTACAATACTGAGTTATACTGCCACAGACTGCCACCAAGTTTCAATGAATGATTCTCTCGAAAGTGAAGTAAATATACTCCTTCGTACTACACACAAATGTACAAGGTAAGCATGTGTATACAGACAAACAGATCAATACCATCTAACATACTGGGGCCACACAGTTGATCCTGACTCCATGGCCTATCCACTCAAGAGCTAAACTCATTGTTAAATTGTTAACTCCAGCTCGTGCTGCACCAGTGTGCCTGCACATGAAACAAAAATAACATGACTAGTGTACTGACATATTAAAATAATCTATGGTTTATCCCCTTGCTGACAAAAATTCATGATGTCCTGATAGGGAGTAAGCTAGGCTTCCATTTCTCACAATGGTAGCAAAGTACAATTGCAAGTTTTTCTTTCCTCACTGAACAAGAGTTTGATTTGGTATGTTCTTTTTATTTTTGCTAACAAAGACTTTAGGGAAAGATGTTTCTTGTTTAATTTGCAGAGGTGAGGAAATATTTTCTTTTTTTTTAACTTAATTATTAAGAGTGTTACAACAAGTGATTGTGAATGAAAAAAATAAGTCATGACTCGTGACTACTGTATTTCAGGCCAACTCAAAGAATAGAAAAAATACTTACGCCATCCCTGGAAAACCTTTGCTCATGTCCACAATAATGTTTACAATAGAGCCACCATTTTCACCCATCCACAATCTGAAAGCTAAACAGCCACACATGACCAGAAATATACTTCAATGCAAAATAGACAACTATATGGCAATGACAAAATCAAACCAACTTGCAAAGAATAGTCCAAATATAAATCATGCTACGTTGCACATTTTCCTTTTAGCAGTGTTGAAAAACTGACAGAGTGTCATAAAGTTTGGTAGGAAACATGAAAGTTACAAGTACGACCTACTTCATTTGGGAAAATCATGTACTGCATGAATAAATTAATACCCCCTCTCTTATGTCTCTATTAGCAACTCTCAAAATTAGCAAAAGGAACTATAACTCCGACCAGGCTTTGAAGGAAGGAGGTGATTGTGTGGTACTTGCCACAACAATGCACAATATGCTAAAATCCTAATTAAATGCCTCCACTGAAAAACACCCCATCTCAATAACCAGGACAAACTTGTAATAAATTTCCTGTAGACTACTGACTGTTATTCAAGTAAATACACTGTACATGTATGTTTTGCAACCAGCATTGTAGATCCATAATCAGAAAATTATTGTCCATATCAATTATTCCGAATGTTAATTGTCACAAATTCTCCGCAACAAGAATCATACTTGCATAGCATTAATGAATTTGTACCTTCTCTGCAACACAGAAATGTTCCATTCAAGTTAGTATCTATGACAGCTTTCCAACCCTTAGAGGACATGCTTGAAACAGGTGACATGAACTGGCCTCCTCCATTATTCACAAGAAAGTCAATTTTTCCATAAGAGGAAATGGTTTCCTCCATCAAGTTAGTTACCTAAAATGCAAAGCTGTGTTTACAGTATGCAATATATAACTTATGCAACTTTCTTTTTTAACAGTGTAACAAAAAGACTCGCCTATGGCTAATTACTCTACAGATTTATTATTCTCTCCAGTAAATCTGCACAAGCAACTCAATAGCAAAAGTATACACCATTTATCATTTCACATCTCAAAGGTAACATACTTAATAAAATATGTGGGTAAATGCCATCGGCAATAAGCAGAAATGTAGTTTAAATTTACATCAGTTTAATCAGTAAAACCTTTTGACATCACATCAATTTCCAAAACTATACTGGAAAATTAGGGACCTCATTCTCTCTTGGCCAAGATGCAGGAATCAAACATTACAAGGGGTAGGGTAGCAAAGGGAGAGGAGGTTGTGATCACACTTCATGTACAAACTTGAACAGAATTCATGGGTCACACACAATTGTAGCTGCTTTTAAAAATGATTCTTAAAAAGAGGGGGGCGGGAAGGGGGAGGGGGGCAGTTCAGTTGAGCCTGCCAAAGAACTTTTCAAGAGTCAGGTCATGCCCTGGGTGGGGGGGGGGGGTTACTGCCATATATGGGCTATATAGGTATGTGCTGCTGTGAAGGGTATGGTTTTCAAGCAGTTTACTCTAGGATAGGGTATATAAATCAGAGCATTTGGGTCTAGAATACGGTATCATTTTTCACGAAACTGACCAGTTGGTTGAATATTTTATCTAAACTAAGGAAACCAGGAATTGCCAATCGAAAATATAAAAAAAATGAAATCGGCAAGTTTAAATTTTTGCAACTCAGCCTCAACAGCATCGATAGATGACTATCATAAAACACTACTGGATATTATTGACTGTCAAAAGTCGGGAATCAGACGGAAATCGGTGGCTTTAATACTGGTTACTCTAGTATTGGGTCGGAAAATTCAGCTGAACTAGCTCTGGTATAGGCTAAGGGTTACAGGGTCCCAGCAGCACATCCCCACCCAGAAATTCCTAAAGTACCCCCCCCCCCGGGGGGTCATGCAAGATTTTGTTTGCGAGTTTTTCTGTATATTTCTTTTCATGGCTTGGTTTTATGAAACATTTTCTTTGTTGTTTCTTGTGCAAGACTTATTTCACCCTGCTGCCCCCTCAAAATCATATAAGAAAGTCCACTCTGAAAACCAACTTAGAGATCATCAAGAGAGCACCTTTATTGTCTGAATAAGCTTAATTAACCATTCGCAGAGCCTTAACCTGCGTCGTGCGTTTTTTTCATAAGCTCCTGGCTTGGGAGATTGGGCAACCACTCCCCACGTTTACGACTCAAAATAAATTTACCTTATCTTACCTTACCTGTAGCTCTTCTCTGATGTTACACGGCACAACTTTAACCTCTGAACTGCTGGAGGGCTGTATGTAACGTGACAGTTCATCAGCCGCTTTCTGTAGTCTGTCCTCCTTTCTTGACGAGATCACAACTTTGCTGCCAAGATAAAGTAATTCTCTAGCTATTGCCTTTCCAATACCCGTACCACCGCCAGTAACAATTGCCACTTTCCCTTCAAATAGCCCTGCCCGAAATACTGATTGCATCGTCGATTGTATCTTGCTGGAAAAAGGGCGCGCGTGTCACGCCCGCGACCGCGCGGGATCAGTGAAGCGCATGACCGAATGATCGAATCGCAGAATAATCGCAGGCGCATTTGAGAAACATTTTTGGCGTTAGGCATTCTCGTCCCCAGTGCTACTCGTCTTAAAATGTCGTTGCGAGTTTCCGACCACGTGACCAATAGAAACGGAGGCTCTGGGAACGAGAATGGACGTTATGTGAATGTGAGGCTAATCTGTGAGGCTTACACAACGAACTACCACGCTTCTGTTGACCAGCGGTTGCATTTTAATCGAAGACGTGTCGAACGAGAGTCAAACAAAATTTCGCGGAAATGCAGGTTTGTTCGTTTGTTTTGGAACGGGGATATGATTAATCGGGAAAATGAATGACTTCTAACTTCATTTGTTGTTATAAAAGAAGCAAGATGATTCCAAAGGGAATGCCATAGAAGCGGAGTTACTTCCAATCGACATTTACTACAACAAACTTTTGGGTAAGGAAGATCGACCGGTGCATTAATTGACTTGCAATCAGGCGTTCTTTTTACAAAAAAAGAACGCCTGCACGAAGGATAACTGGTGTAAAAAGTTAGTTCAATTGATTTAAGCGTATTATCTTCAAATATTATGAAGCCTTTTACGTTCTAGTACCATTATTGACGATAGAACAAAACCAACGATCAAAAAAAGGCTTCCATTTGCACAAATATCTGAGAAGGGCTAGAAATTTGCCCATTTTGATGTCAAAAAATTATAACCTTGTAAACAAAATGCACACTGCCAAGCCAGGGTGAACAGCATACCCTATTTCAGACCAAAATGGTTGAAATGAGGGTGGCAAAGTGTTTTTGTGTGATGCGTGATTGCCCCAAAATTAGCAGTGTGATGCGTGATTGAGACCAAATTAGCTGTGTGACACGGGACAGGACATCGTAATGGGATGCATGATTTGCTATTTTACAAGCATGTAATTTGTGATTTACCAATTAGATTTCTGTGATAAGTGAACGTTCTTTGAACTAGTAGGATAGCAACCAACATACAGCTGATTCCAGCTGGCTGTAAGCTGTGCTTCAAGGTCACACATGGACCGCATAGCGGCTGCCAGAGGCGCCAATGTATGCTTTCGGTTCGACCTTGTTGAGCTGCGTCGTTGCTGTACTTTGCGATGGCGATTAGCCATGACAATTATTATTATTATTATTATTATTATTATTATTATTCACTCAAAGTAAATAGTAAATGGAGTCTTAAAAAAGATCATTAAATCATGACAGACGTGACACCAGTTTTCTGTTCTTGACATCTGATGTCTTTTATCCTCGTGGATCTTCATGGTACTATAGGTCCAAACAATTGTGATACAAATTATGGGAATAAGTCAATTGAAAATAGTTAAACTTTGCACAAGGACTATGAACTTCAGTGTTATTTTTGTCCATTTTATTGACCAATCATTTTTGGCAGTGCATCAGAATATGACACACCATATCCAAATCCGGCTATTGTATAAAAGGTCTGAATGAATTTCGTCTAGAAGGGCTGAAACAGCAACACACGTTAGAGTTTGGTGTCATTTTATACTACTAAAAAAGACAGTTGTGTGAGCAATGAGAGACCACACAAGGAAAACGTTTGTGTGCCACTATAAGGTTGTCATAAAGACCTATAGTAACTGAATTCAAAAGCCATGTTATATATTTTACACACATAACAACGTTGAATGATACCTTATTCTAGAAATAGGTCAATTTTTAATACCCCGTTCTATGAATTTAGTAAATTCCAGTAGCCGTTGTTTTGAGAAAGTTATTTTCCTCATTTGGTTAATCTATACATCCAGATATGGAAATGCTGCTTCTACACAATCAACCAGGTTCTCTCTCCTCTGCCTCCCTTGGTCGTTGAGACCAAGAGAGGCAGAGGAGAGAGGGCCTAGGAATGAGGTTGCTACACAATGCGGTAAATTGTGATGCAATGTTACTCATCCCCGCACAGAACCACGCATGCTTTATCGAACATGTTATGTCACATGATAACCCCATGATGATTGCCTTAGGATAGCATACCACTCACAACACAGATTGCAACGGTTTGATTTGTTTGTTAAGGTGCTTTATATATGCAAATTCTCTATGAATAATTTCAAATGGCTGCTGATAATTTGATGAGCTTTCGTACGTTTGAAATATCATACCCTGTTCTAGGAAACGTCTCGAAAATGGATGCCCCATTCTAGATCAGTAGTGCCAAAATCATGGACCTGTTGGGTGGCACATACCCGTATAGGTATTATGGGGGAGTGCCCCTCCCCAGGGTGGTAGGAGGGAAATGAAGATCTTTATAACATTATTTAAAATTTATTGACAACGCAACATAGACTGCGATGGCAGGGAAATATAGATCTTTTTTTGTCAATATTTACAATTTATTGACTACTGACTATGGACTGTAATGGCAGGAAATCTTAAGCACTTAATGACTGGCCCCAAGGGAAACAGTAAGTTTTGTTTCCCCGAGACCCTCAATGTTCCCTGAGGCGAACCCGAAGGGAACATTGCAGGTCTTGGGGAAACAAAACTCACTCTTTCCCAAGGAGCCAGTCATTAAGTGTTTTGTTATACCTCCCGACTCAAAAATAGAAAAAAAAAACTGTGAAAAAATGATTTGCTCGACACCTAACGGTGACTGTGCTTGCAGTACGAGTGGCAGTCAAACCAGGCTGTCCCACCGAAAGAACACAAGAACAGTCTTTTTCTTCCCAGCTGACAAAAATAAAGACAATACTTAAGTTGCTTTGCTTTCCTCTAATGCTTACCGGTAACTCAAGAATTCTGGGTTTGATTCGACAAGGAACAGCATATTTTGTTGTAAATGACACAATTATATTTTTCCTCCCTGGTGAGTGGCGACAGTGATCGAAGAGTGAGTTGCCGAACGCGGGCGACCCACTTTTGGCCAAATTAAAAGCTTGAAGACACAAAGTGTTCACATTTTCCCCTTTGTTAATCCGATATGTTTTTGCCGAATTACAAATCCCTGTTCTTGAATAATGAATGCCTTCTCTGGTGGGAAACGTTGCCTGACATCAATGGCTTTTTGACATCAGGCTGACTGGCACACAAATTTGCTGCCGTTTCAGGGTACACGGCCTGATCACGTGCGAGTCAAAAGTTCAAGTTGTTGTTTCCCTAGGGAGTTAGTGAGTTTTGTTCGCCCTAGGGAGTTAGTGAGTTTTGACCCGTGGCACATGACACGTTCTCCTCCAATCGGAAAACGTATTTGAGTTAGGAGGTTCATGTATAACAAAGATCTTTATTTATCAACTATGGACTGTGGGCAGCAGTAGGAGAGAAATATAGATCTTTGTGCCATATATTTTTAAATGTGTCAACTACAGACTGTGGACTGTGCACAGTACCAGGGAAATTGGCTGCGGACTATGGACCATGGTTACCGGTATATGTACCCTATGCCTTCAGAGTTGGTAGGTATAGTAAAAGTGCTCCAAAAAGAGCAAGTACCTGTTAACATGGGAAGTGGTCCTCGATTGTTCAAATATCAAAATAATAAAGACTGAAAATGACTGAAAATATTTTGAAAACAATGTGGATGCAATAGAAACCATTGCTTGCAGGGTACAGTGTCGATGGAATCTGTCTTCCATGTGATCTTGAAAAATGCCCCAGTCTCATGTTAGCGTGATATAGTGCACCAGACTGTAGTTATTCTTGTTTTGCCAACCGGGTATGTTAATATAGATTTATTTAGTGCTGGTCAACAGTACATGTATGTTGATATTTTGACTCAAATCACTGGTGTCTTGTGACTTAAACAGGCTTGCAAGCTAATGATAAGAAAGCAGAAAGAGGAATTTTTATAATGTTGTTGATGTTAGGTCTAAGTAAAGTCATGGACTGGAGTCCTGTGACAAATTTGCACATGTGGTGCTTTTTCACACATGCTTAAACAAACAGTCACTTCTCAGCCCCTACCCCTACCCCACCTACATGCACAATTCTGGACATGTGTACCAGCAATTTTTTTTGAGTTTCAATGTTGTGTTAGGTCAGGAAGGGGAACAACAACACACTTTAAAAAGATAGGAGTGTTAATTCAAACTTTAGTAGTAAAGCAAAGATAATTCATAGTGCATTACATCAACATCAGTGTCTCAATCACTTTTGTCCACTATTGTACAGTAGGACTGTAGCTTGAATACCTGCATGTGCATTCAAATGTATTTGTGTTCTTTGCCTATCTTAGAATACAAAGGACTTAAAGGAGTGCAATACTGTTCAGTTTATTAATAAATGATTCATTCAGTACATACATATATATTAGTTTACATCCCAGTATAAGCATTTTAATACTTTTGTTTTCCTGATCTTTTGAGTTATTTGTTGTCAAAACAGATTGGCTTTTGGACAGAAGACACTGTGACGTGAAATGGCAGACAGCTGTCTTGGAGATAAGAGAGAAAATTAATGCTGCTATACAAGACATGCCTCCTGTAGATGAGATCTCACAGCTTCTTTCTGGGACATGTATGTATGATGAAGTGTCTTTTGATTTATACGATACATACTTTCTGTATTGTCATGATAGTAAGGTTTGTATTTGCTGTTGGCTACATGTTTCCAGTTGCTTTGCCATTAAACACCTTCACTCTGCCATCACGCTAACTATTTAAGGCCTTCACTAGCATCTATTTGATTTTTTGCTTTTACTTCTCTTTAATTGGCTGTAGCCAACGTTGTTAGAAGAAATTGCACAACCAATCAAGCCTTTTCTTGATCATTATGGAGAACTTATTAGCTGTTAGAACATCAATGGTGATGCATTAAAATGCTCTGAATACTGTTAGCTGTTCATGAACTACATGTATCCTGTGCAAGGTCACAGTTGAGTTATAGAAGTACAACTTTTAGTGCTCACTTTTAGTATGTCACACTGTATGTACCATACTTTATCGGATTCCAGTATGTCAAAGTGCTTTCTTTCTACAGATATAAATTATTTCCACTGCATCAGAATTGTAGAACTGTTGAAAGTATCAGAGTCTGCAACAAAGAATATTTTTGGTGGTTACTCATCAAAGAGGATGAAGGTTTGTGTCAGTCTGGAAGTTGTTACATTGAGTATGGGTTAAACAAAAAGTTGTTTTTGCAATCATCTGAAGTCACAAACACTACATTGAATGGCCTCAAGCCGTGATCGGTCTCGCATTTTGATCATCGAGTGATGCCTTACAGTGTAAAAGTGTAATAGAGATTGCTTGTACTGATGAAAGTTGCTTGTTTTTCATACAGGATTGGCAGGAAATTGTGAAGTTATATGAAAAAGATAATGTGAACCTAGGTAATGAAATTGTCATTTTGCTGAGATCTTTAGCAGTTAGATATCAGGTACTAAATTATGTTTGTTGCATAAAATAGCGATTGATTCCTTGTTCCTTCAGTTTGCTCAGGTTATAGAATTAATTTAGCGCTAAACACCAGGTCATAAAGTACAGTAAGTGGAGATTGATTAGTGAGTTCTAAACTCAGATCACTGAGCAGGACTGTGATTTCAGACCACTTTTTATTAGGGAGAAGAGTATTCTTGATGGGTCATTGATGTTCTGGATCAAACGTTCCTGTTGTTGATCAATATAATTCATCCACAAAGCAACATGTTAGTTTCAGGTGTGCAGATCAAGGCAACAGGTCACTCAAAACTGAAAGCTCTATATATCGTAAAATACTGAAAGTAATGTCCCTCCAAAAGTAACGTGAAAAAAATTGAGGCAGCTAATAAATTCCAAGAGTAGGAAGTGTACCCATGATACAATTTTCATGAAGTTACAGGAGCATACTAACAGGAACCGTATCATTTTCAACAGGAGCATATTGAGCATATTAAAAAGAATATTCCTTCTAATTAAAATTTAAAACTCAGCCATCACACTGAGATATTGATACACCAGTCTAAGGTAGCAGTGGGTCAGGAAATAAAAACAGTCTATAGTATCTGACTTGCTTTCCTGCTGACCACTGACAACACAGTCTAGACATGAAGAACCAACCCATGTGGCAGCAACATAAATTTAAACTGGATCGAAGAATTTCATCTCAAGTTTTAAGACCTATTTTAATAGTGAATTTCTGTCTTTAGGTTGTAGAAAAGGCTCAGTTGTGTCAACTCAAAGTTTATGTAACGTTTTTTTGGTCCCCAAAATTAAAATCCCCTAGAAGTAACAACGGCTGCTAATTCCAAAAGTAACAAGGATTGTTACTCTTGGCTTTGGTAATTTTAGCTTGTATACATTATATTTTTCTTTCTCAGCTGAGGCAGCTCATCTGTTAATTAGGAATGTCAATTATGAGATCCCCTCATTAAAGAGACAAATAGGAAAGTGTCAACAAACTCAAAGGGTAAGAGAATGTTTCGAAGCTTTCTGTTTTAAGCTGAAGATATTAGATAATAATTATTATATGAGTGAATGAAGTTAATGAAACTAATGTTTGGTGGCTATTAACTGTTGGAAAAGACTGCTATAGCTGTAGGAGATCTTTTTTATTGTCTTTCAACAATATTATTACTCTTGTTTACATTGTACTTTTGATTCATTGAGCTTATAAAGCTATTATGAGAAATCAGAATTATCATTTGACACATTTTTTCTTCCTCTTCATTGCCTGAGAGCCAGGATATGACCTGCAAATAACTGCTTATTAATAGGAATAATGGTCTGTTCAGGCGTAATACAGTCTAAGTGATTGCTTTCCTGAGCTGTCAGAGAGTGATTTAAATTAAAAAACAAACTTGTTGATCCAGTGATAAAATAATTGAAGCCTTTTGTGCAAAAGAGGGCATATATAGCATTTTGGGCCGATTTTTATTTTTTGCAGGATCGAGCTAATTTTTGGCAGACTGACTTGTTTTGACATGAAAAGCATCGTTGCGTTGCATCCTTTGAAGGTGGATTTTGACGCGGTGTAAACTTAAATGGTTACTTTTAGCAGCTTCGACAGCATGGTTTTTTTAAATAGATGTTTTGATTTTTGAAATAAGTAGAGAAATAGACCGGAAAAAAAAATCCACTGACCTCGAATCAAACCAGTGTAACGACAAAACAAACTTGAATCCAGCCCTTTCAGCGCCTTATTCACTTGTGCTAACGAAGCAACAGTAAGAAAATTGCTTAATTATATGAATGTTAAAACTAGCGGCAAATACCACACTTCGATGACTTCATCGTTTAGCAAAACAAAAGGTTTCTTTTGTTTTTCGCTCAACAAAAGATCTCCAAAAGACACCCTTGGAAAACTGAGTTTTTTTGCATACGTTATTTCTTGAAAACAAAGCGTAAATCAACAAAAACAGTTACGCAACGATGCTTTTCATGTCAAAACAAGTCAGTCTGCCAAAAATTAGCTCGATCCTGCAAAAAATAAAAATCGGCTCAAAATGCTATATACGCCCTTTTTGCATGAAAGCCTTCAATTATAACTTTAAGTTCAATAATTATTATTGAAGTACGTTATCACAAATATATTTTGGTCTGTGGCTAGCAGATCAATTTGCCTCAGCCTTTGGCTTCAGCAACCAACTGATCTGCTTGCCATTAACAAATCACGATATTTTGCTCAACCTCGTCAGTACATCATTTTCCATGTCAAATTGAGTTGCGTTAGTAAGCATGTGTAACTATTCAAACTCACAACCAGTGGGTTTTCTCAGCTGGATTACATCCCTTTGCATGATGCTTTCTCACAACAGAACAAAAATGGATTATTTTAACAAGGACATGATAGGCTAACAAAAGTTTTTCCCGTTGGTTTCTGGGAAAATTCCGTTTGAAGTTGTCCAACAGAAAATGTTTCTCTAATAGTAATAGTATTGTGTGTACTTATAATACTCTTTTTTTTTAAATAATTATTAATAAGATGTTTTATGAAAGTTGTTGATCAATGGAGGGGCTGAAATGCATTTCTGACATGTGTAATAAACATGGCATTTGTGACTTTTTGTGCTGTCATTATGTTTGAAATAAAAATTAAAAGTTTTCAGTGAAGAGTTTCCCCAGTAAGTCTTCTTTTTCATTGTTAGTTCACTTTAGAAAGGTCATGATAAATCAATAATGATTGTACTTGACTGTCTTTAGGAGTGCACAAGAAAGGAAAGTGAATATGCTTCCAATGCAGCATTATTTAAAGAAAAATATCAAAGTGTTTGTAAACAAATGAGTATAAAGGTAAGGGTGTTAATTTACCAGAGTATACATGTACCGTGAAGATCTAGGAGCCCATAAGAAACAGTATAGTTAACAAGAATTATTCCATGAGTATGCATTGGGTAAGAGATGGTAGATAGCCAACAATGCACGTACCTTCGAGTTGGCTATAATCATCTCATATCCAACAAGCGCGTGTGGAATAATTGTTTTATTAAAAACGCCCCCAAAATATAGAAGACTAAACTAAGATGAAAATAAAAACGCCCCAAAATTTCACACGCACACTTACCATAATTATTTGTAGAGCATGGGATGGACAGTACACTGGACATGTTTGGTTTGAATATCAGACATAAGGCTTCTTTTTGCTTTCAATTATGACTTTGCAGTCCCTGTTAGCTGATGCAGTTAACAACCATTTTCATTTATCTTGTTGTGCAGGGAGACAATGTGAAATCAGAGTTGTTAAGCCTTCTGGATGAATTACCTGAAATATACAAGGGGATCACTGCTGCAGTCAGCAGTTTGAAAAACACAACTCACTTTTATGAGACTTTTGTCAACTTTTTAGTTCCCAGGTTTGTTGAGTGTAGTTCTCATTTCTTGTCATTGTTTGATGGTTATGTGAAGGTTATGGACAGTATATTGATGCAAAATAATTGAAACCAACTCTTGGTTTTGGGGAGCTTTAGAATAAATTAGGTGAACTAAGTTCTGACTTAAATGAAAAAAACAAAACAAAAAACGGACAAATATATCTGTGGATAGAATGACCATGGACTCTGTTGTGGTTGTTTTCAACACTTAAATAGTCACGATTCACACATATGTCATCAAACAACAGTCTAGGATCATCTTTTACGTGATATTTTGCTCTTTCAATACAGGACAATTTCTATACTAAAAGACCTAGAAACTTGTTATTAGCATGAATACTGTCCCGTAGATCTTGATTGTTTTTATATTTCAGTTACAATAGTAATAAAGAAACCTCGCAGTTGACAACACCACTTATAAGACACATTCAACAACATGGCAACAGCACAGTGTACCAGTGGAGGACAGGCAAGACCCCATCGGTAAATATGATCACTGTAGTGTCAGATGACTATATAACATCCTAACATTTGTAGTTCAAGATAAGAACTTTATCATCAGTGAGTTAATTTACCCATAGGTTGTTGTTCCAGACAGAAGACCAGAAAGTTCAAGTGCAGAAGTTAAAAAAGATGATGGAGAGGTAAAGTGCTATTAATAACATGGTTGTCATCAATGTATTTAAGGTTACTTGATTTGCAATTCTTGGTGCAACACTGATTTGTGCTGCATATCAATCGCTAGTATTTGTTTGTTGTTATCTGTAGTTATTAACTGTTAGTCCAACTCGTAATTTAGCTGTGAGCTCCTCTGTAGGAGATGAGAAAGGGCAGGGAATCTCTGTTTTGTAGAGTACCATTGACTATTGGCCAACTTGCAATCCTCCGTGGGAAAAAAAGATGGAGGCTGTACATTTTACCACAATACAATGTGTACCTAACACAGCACATTCTCTATTTTCCAATTGCCCATAATTCACTTTGTTTGCCCTCCAAATTTTCCATAAACTATTGTTGTGAAATGCTCTTGGGAATATGCAGACCTCCCAAGAGAACTTCACAACAAAAGTTAATGTAAAATTTGGGGGCAGAGTGAATTATGGGCAATTGGAAAATAGAGAATTAGGTACAAGAAAAGCCATATATTTGCAATATTTCTCCCTGTACTAATGTAATTAATTATACTAGATCTGAGGATGTTAGAACTTTTCTGTACACTTTTATGTGCATATTTGTGGAGGTTTGCTCAAAATTATTGTAAATGTATGACTCGTCATTTCTTTTCTTATGGAGGATTTTGAAAAATCCGATCTCAGCGTGTACTTAGTCAAGTTTACTGTGACCCAGTGACTGACTGAAAATGATTTATTGTGAGTTCACTTGTATTAAAGTAAATGTTGTCACATTTTAAGGACATGTAAGTAATTGTTTAAAGATAGTGGCACGTGCATACCTTTGTCTTTTTGTCTTTATTTTCTCTATGCTACCACAGATTGATTGGGGTAATGAAACCATCTCCGTTACCAATGTTGGGTCTGACAATGTTGATTGGGGGGAGGTTGGTGAGGAGGACATAGGGGGGATAGACTGGGGAGACAGTGGTGACACTATTGACTGGGGTGATGGTGGACAAACAAATGATGATGGTGACATTGACTGGGGAGGTGATGGGGCTGCTGAAAAAGAACTAACGTCGAACATCGGTGGAATCACTCTGGAAGGATCTGGACAAGGTGAATAGTAACTGATTACATTGCTTTATGCCTTACATACTGTAAAGGAAGATCAGTTAGATTGTATTTTGTTCGGGGAAATTACGTAAAATATAACGTCATATTTGAGTTTTAAAAAGAAAAAGGTATTAAAAATCTTAAAGACCTTTTCCTTAACCAGTGTAGCATTTTTATATTCGTCATATTTGAGTTGTTCATCGTCAGCTGAAAGGGAAAGGGTGCTTAGACTGCTTATTCATATTATAGACGATGAAGTTGTCAGTGGAGCAGATGCTGAGACATTACTGGATACAACTCAAACAAGAAACATGTTAATTGATGAGCTGTTGGAGGTACACGCTGCTATATTTTGTTTAGATGTCATTTCATGATTCATTGGTTTGTAATTGCTGACACCTTTTTTGTGTACAGCTTCAAGGATTCCTCCGACAAAGAATGATGGAAATGAAGAGTGATTCTGATGTGCTGTCAGCTAACCAGGTAGTGTACAAATCTCTGTATGTAGTTACTTTCTACACATATGTGTATTCTACTATTGTACTTACAATAGGCTAACACTTTCTCACTGTAAAGGAAAATAAGGCAAACCATATTTGGAGCAAGAACAATCATAGACTGCCAGTAGTCTCTCTTTTCCTCGAAAACCGTGGAGAAGAGCGCAAAACAAATAAGCGTGCGAGCATGACTGTGAGTGTGACGTGCGAGCGGCGATGCCGCGAGTCGCTAGTAGCACGGGGTGTCACGCTCACAGTCAGGCTTGCACGCTTACTTGTTTTGCGTTCTTCCCCACGTTTTTTCGAGGAAAAGAGAGACTGCTCGCAGTCTAGAGTAATCATGATACTTTTGAACCTGTCTGTACGTACCTATTTCCTGGTAAAAAATTAATTTGTACTCTGCTGTCGACTACATACTTTTGTTAACAATCACTATAGTGGTATTAAAGTGTCATTTGTCATGATCAACACTGTTCGCAGCCAGGCCTTTGTGGCTGTTGTCTCAAATGAGTGGGCAAGAAAGGGGTGCTTATTTGAAGGGGACTTTTTTGGAACGGGGTGGGGGTGCTATGTTAAGTGTCATTGTCAGAGAAAACCGGGCAGTACCAAAAGATCGAGGTCGGCCGTTTACTTTCATCTTTTCACTGTACAAAAGCTACCCGAAAAGATTAACAACCATGACATTTGCCGAGGTAGGCATTCGTTTTTTTTCGAGATGTCACCACATCATGATTTTGGGCTCTCAAGCGGTCGAAAATGGCCGAAATTTCGGGCAACTTTAGGTGAGCCTAAACGATACTTCGTACAAATTCCAGAAACTCTTATTTTCGTGCGATGATATTTGTCCCTTTATTAGTTGACTGAGATATATTTGAGGTCTTTCGCTTTAATTCGACGGTTTTTACGANTTTTTTTGGATTTTGCGAGACCAATTACTCCGATTTGATGGTAGATGCCAATTTTAACTCAACCGGATATTGATAACAGTGCAAGAGACTATCACAAAATCGTTTTTCTGTGGAAATAAACTGCCGCACTTTTGAAAAACGACTCGCTGAAAATGGCTAAAATTCGGGTCACGCTAATTAACGATTTGGCGGCGATATTTGGCACCTCGTAAAAACCGTCGAATTAAAGCGAAAGACCTCAAATATATCTCAGTCAACTAATAAAGGAACGAATATTATCGCACGAAAATAAGAGCTTCTGGAATTTGTACGAAGTATCTTTTAGGCTCACCTAAAGTTGCCCGAAATTTCGGCCATTTTCGACCGCTTGAGAGCCCAAAATCATGATGTGGTGATATCTCGAAGAAAAACGAACGCCTACCTCAGCAAATGTCATGGTTGTTAATCTTTTCGGGTAGCTTTTGTAGAGTGAAAAGATAAAGGTAAACGGCCGACCTCGATCTTTTGGTACTATTTGGGGCTCTAGCAAAGAACAGATATTGATACAAAGTACAATGTGCACGTTTCTAGTTTCAGTCAGCTCCACAGCTTATTCAGATGCAGTCTGTAGAGTCAGTGCAAGCCATGGAATCAGCTGTTACTGATATTCTATCAACAATCACTTCAATGAAGATGCACAACCTGTTCTTACTGAAGACCTCTCCAAGGTAATCATTCTAGTGCTGGGGCAAATAAGGGAAGGGATATAACACTCAGACTTCCACAGTTAACTGAAACTCGTTGTAAGAGTGATGGCTTATCAAATGAAAGGAAGGATTTCTGCCTTTGTTTGAATCTTGTAGTGAAAGGTAACTGTTCATTTGTTTGTTTCTGTTTTATTTTGCTCACTGGTCACGAACATGCATGTGTTTAATCCATTCATGTTGTTATGCGCCTCTTTTTCTTGTTACATATTGTGGACACTACATTTGTTTAATAGATACTTGGACCGCTTAGCAGATTCTCTGCAGCAAAAACTTAAAGTCTCCGAGAAGTTGGTGGCGTCCATTAAAACAATGGCCGACAAACGGCAGGCTGCTTCCACAGAGCAACAGGACTTGGAACCCAAGCTGGAAGTTATCAGAATGAAAACAAAAGAGCTACAAGTACAGGTACTTTCATTTGACTCATTAATCACTTTTGCATTGCCTGATAATGAGTCTTTTATCATAACACCGTTAGAGGAATAACTTAAATTCGCTGAAATCTCGTTTAATTAAACACTCCAAGACGAGAAGAAATGACACCAAACAATGTTTAAGAGTCTTTATTCGTTGAATTACCCACACATTGATCGATTTCAAATTTAACTCCTAATCTCCATTCAAACTCTCATATTATGCTTGGGTTTCCGATGCTTTTACTTGCAGTTTTGGCTGCTAATTTATACTGTTAATAGCTGTACATAAGGTTCTGTTTGGTTTGCTTTCACTGCTGTCCATTTTATTGTTGCAGATTGCTCAAGAAATTTCCAAGAAATACAAGAACAGACCAGTCAATATTATGGGCGAAATAAACACTGTATAGAAAGTCGTAATTCACCGCATGATTTCTGTGCTGTCGTATCTTGTTTGACCATAGGTAACCCCAGCGTAATATAAGATTCTGCAAACTCTTGTATCATGCTTGGGTCATCTGTGGTTTGATTGACAGAGAAGCAAGGAATTATAACATTCAGGCCCGCCACACATCAGTTAATAATAACACGAATACTAGAAAAAGTCAACGTACATAAACAAATGTTTATATAAATAGTAAGTTTTACATTCTAATGGAAAGCGTAAAATTTAAAAGATATAAAAGTCTTATTTTTCAGACCAAGTGTCCAGCGTTTGAAGAAAAGTTACAGTTCACATAGTTACATTATCTCTTGAACTATTTATTTACTAACACCTTTCGCTGGAAAACAAGAGTTCCAGGCTAAAAACTGAAAGATAACATATAGCAAGTATGCACACTAAATGTGCAATTAAAAATATGGAATTATTTTAAAATTACTGACAACTGGATTATGCGAAATAAAACTGGCAAGTTTTCAATCTCTCTCGTCATCCTTTTCTCTGGCTTTTTCTATTTGTGATATCGATGTACAGTGGAACCCTGTCAACACGGTCACCTACGGGTTATGAAAATTTGGCCGTATTACGGGGAAGGGTCAAATTGTTTGACTGGTCTAAACTGAGTGAAGTCTTAACAGTGAATCACAATTGCACTTCTAAACAACTGTTTTTTAATACGCAGGAATGCAGATACTATTTTAAAAAAATTGAAACTTCAATCAGTACATACAATAGTAACAATGGAAAGATGAACATAACTGGTTTGAGTGGCCGTGTAAACGGGCTAAAATCAGAAAGGATTATATAGGAAAGCATTTCAGAATGTGGCCGTTGGCCGTATTAACGGGGTTTTCTTTTAGGAAAATGTAATGGCGTTTCCCCGGAACAAAAAAAGTGGCCGTTTTAACGAGGTGACCGTAAGGCGGTGTTCCACTGTAACTCTGAGGCCACGTCCACACTACACCGGAGAAATTTGAAAACGGAGGTTTCACCCTGAAGGCGCATCAAATGTTTTCCGTCCACACTGTACTACGCCGGAGTGTTTGAGTAAAACTCGGGTAGGGAAATATCATGCTTATGGTAACCTCATCGTTTTCAAAAAGCTTCGTTTTCAAAATGGTTTCTGTCCCGACTAAAAGGCAAAGATGGCGTTTTCAAATACCTCCGGTTTGTAGAGCGTTTTCGAAAAGCTCCGTTTTCGTTTTCGATTAATGCGGACGGAAGGTCTAACAGGAGAAATAAAGCTCCGTTTT